CTATAACTTAAGTTCACTAGCAGTCCATAGACCAAGAGGGCGGTGCTGTACAGTGTAAAACACCATATAAATGATGAATAGTTAGCCTGTGTAACAGTAACACAGGATTTTTCATTTCTCGCTGCTATAGCGACAACCTCATACCCAGTGCCTTGGCTGAGGTTGATCAAGTAATGGGTATCATTGCAAACTGTGAGAGGACTTAGGCTGAGAACCCGGTCTGGCAGTCCGTTGGGCAGGGTGCTGGTCTTCGAGACGTGGATGATGTCGTTATTCGCATTCAAGACGAAGTGGAATGAGAGCGTCTTCCTGCCGGCGACGAGCTCGGATAAATCACTCATGAAAAGATGCGAAAAGCTATTCGGCTCCCTCACCCCTACGTCGTCGGAGCTCATCTTGATCAACTTGCTGCCGGCATCCACGTTTGTTTCTGTGACGACCCACGAACTAAGAGGGACTTCACTGTCGCCTTGGGAGCCATTCGTCGACATTTCAGTGCTGAGAGGAACGCAGCTCGCGCGACGCACTGCCGCACTTAAAGATGGGAATTCCACGACGGCACTGTTTTCGATAGAGGTGGCGTACCTGGCTTTCAGAGCCTCCCGCCGAGCCACGACCTGGTTCTTTCCACGAAAGGCGGCCACAGCATGCCGGACGCGGAACAACAACCTGCAACATTCCACGGATTACTTGCGTTCTCCCTAGCGGATAGATAGACTAGCCTTACTTGGAGACAGAACGGCCATACAACGGCTAGGATGCATATCAAATGGTTCTCCACCTTTTTTGGATGGTACCCAAAATATGAATTGCTTAGCCTTAAATGTTAATGGCTTCAGTATTCTATACGCAGGATTAATGCTTTGATAACATTCTGAATAGGTATACTGAGGGAAAACTGTACACATATCCTTGGCAACCCAACTTTGGGTCGCGCTCCATGGGTTAAGAACCACAGCTCTAAAGGGAATGCTGAGACATACCAATTTCGCAATATAGTTGATGCTACAAAAACATCGAAGAATCCAGTAACAATGCAAAGGATGTACTGTACCAGTGAATTCTAAGAAGTAAGTAGTGAATAAAAAGTATCGAATTCATTACATTCATCATTACATTCAGTAGAACATTTCCTTTCATTCCTGTCTAAAAGATCTGTCTGCAGAAGCACAGTAATGTATATAATTCCTTAGAATACCCCACGCATTTATTCATGTATTACCATGAATATAAATGTTTATATAATATTAATGAGTCTAACGACTATACTCACAAGTAAAGAGGAATGGTGAATGTGACATAAAGTAATACTGCCTTTGACCGGCTTATTTTATCCCAGTATCTGTAAAAAAAAGAAAAGAAATATTTCAGTAATCTCCTTTGCGTGTAAAATTATCCAAAGATATCTCTCCAGAAAGAATTATTTTGCTATTCATACAACGAAAAGACAATGCATCGCGATTAAACACGTCCACAGAAACCACCATTCTTACATGCGCACGAGCCATCCGTTAAGCAAGAGGTGCGTGATGACCAGATAACTGGTAAACGCAATAACAAAATGAAACATGACGTCGAGGTCCAGGAACCCTGCGATAAGTGCGGATATATGCAGCACTGCCACCGTCACCCACAGCAGCGCGAGACCCACGCTTTCCGCGGCCACCATCTGCACGAGTGTGCTAAAGGGAAGAGAGAGAAAAATAATATTTGAATGATGAAATGTAACGTAAACCGTAAAGAGAGAGAGAGAGAGAGAGAAAATATCTCTCTCGTCAGTAAACGGAACTTCTGAATTTAAGAGAGATTTTTTTTGGATAATCGAGTTAGTATATGGTAATCGCCAATGCGAAATCTAAACAGATTCAAAAGCTCCATTAAAAGTATGGAATGCTTAGTTACTTTATCAGATATTGCTAATTTAATAATCTTATAATGTAAAACGGTAATTATGCCTATAAATATATTACAAGAAAAAGAAAGAAAAAAGTTGAAGGCTTTTATCTATACCTATACTTCCTTCATTTATAGAAGTAATAGACAGAGCAAAATATATTCCAACAAAATAAGAAAAAAAGGGAGAAAAGAAAACGGAAAGAAAAAGAAAATGAAAAAAAAGGAAAAGAGAAAAGACACAGAAAAAGAAAATAAAGAAGAGTAAAGGAAAGAAAAAGAAAACAAAGAAGAGAAAAGAAAAAAAAAGAAGAGAACAGAAAAAAGAGAAAAAAGATGAAAGAAATACACAAAAAGAAAAAAAAATGAAAAATACATATATACATATAATACATATAATATATATACATATAACATGTATAATATTTTATATATATATATATATATATATATATATATATATATATACATATATATATACAGAGGCCTACGTCCTGCAGTGGAATGAATGGCTGTTGAAAAAAATTAAATAAAAATAAAAAATAAACACACACACATATATATATATAATATATATATACATATATATATATATATATATATATATATATATATATATATATATATATATATGTATATATACATACATACATACATATATATATGTATATATATATGTATATATATATATATATACATATGTATATGTATATATATATATATATATATATATATATATATATATACACATATATATGTGTGTGTGTGTGTGTGTGTGTGTGTGTGTTTATATATATATTTTTTTATTTAACTTTTTACTGCCGCACTGATATCCACGCCGTTGTCTCTCGCGATTCAAACCAGAAGTGTACTCATATATATATATATATATATATATATATATATATATATATATATATATATGTATATATGTATATATGTATATATATATATATATATATATTTATATATATATATATATATATATATATATATATATATATATATATATGAGTACACTTCTGGCTTGAATCGCGAGAGACAACGGCGTGGATATCAGTGCGGCAGTAAGTGGTTAACAAGGCGACGAACAAAACGCTCGACCTAAGTATAAAAGTTATATACATATATATGTGTGTGTGTGTGTGTGTGTGTGTGTGTGTGTGTGTATGTGTGTGCGTGTATGTGTGTGTGTGTGTGTGTGTGTGTGTGTGTGTGTGTGTGTGTGTGTGTGTGCATATGTATGTATGTGTGTGTGTGTGTGTGTGTGTGTGTGTGTGTGTGTGTGTGTGTGTGTGTGTGTGTGTGTGTGTGTGTGTGTGTGTGTGTGTGTGTGTGTGTGTGTGTGTGAGAGTGTGAGTGTGTGTGCGTGTGTGTGTGACACTGAGTGAGTGTGAGTGAGTGTGCGAGTGTGAGTGAGTGTGCGAGTGTGAGTGAGTGTGCGAGTGTGAGTGTGCGAGTGTGTGTGAGTGTGCGTGTCTGTGTATGTGAGTGTGTGTGTGAGTGAGTGAGTGAGTGAGTGAGTGTGTGTGTAAGTGTAAGTGTGTGTGTATATGAGTGTGAGTGTGAGTGTAAGTGTGAGTGTGGCTGTGAGTGTGAGTGCGTGCGTGCGTGTGTGTTTGTACTGGCTAGGTTTGCCGACTGACTGGTTATGGTTTGAGGACTGGGAAACAGGTAGCGACATTTACCAATTTAACTTCCAATTTTTGAAGACTCACAAGATAACCAAGTTGACTACTCATTATTGTATGTTCATTTCCTGATATACATTTGGTGATATATATATTTATTTATCTCTCTCTCTCTCTCTCTCTCTATCTATCTATATTATAAATCATAAGTATATACTTTATGCAACTGTAGTTGTCAGGTGTCTCCTAAATTTTTCCTATTTTGTGGCATCCTTAGTTACACCACTATCAAAAAATATCAATGCCTCCAGGAGAGTACTATACCCAAGGTTGGGAACCACAGTCACGCATTGTGTTGATGGAATATTCATCACAGAAAAGTAGCTATTCAGAATACATATGTGTGAAAGGAATTCAGTGTTTAATGAGCTAGATAAATGTACTGGCAATTCTCCTGAAATTTTAGCAAACTTAATTAAAACTGGACTATCACACAGAGATCAAACATAAATACAAACAAACTAGAGCCATTTCGATATATTTAAACGGGAGAGCTGATCAACCATTTTAAATTCTTAAATGTATAATTTGAATTTCTTCTTATAGTGGTAAGCTGGCCCAAGGTGCCCACTGAAGTAGGAAAATTATAGAATGGTGCAATGAGCAGTAAAGAAATGGCTTTTTATCTAATTTTTATATTATTGACTACGCGATAATCTTAGTTTCATTCATGCCGTGTAACTTGCCGTAAACACATGACAAAATATCATATATGTAAATATATACAATCCGAAAACAGTTTTGCATGTTATGGAATTTTCAAATTTACATTAGCGTTGCGACAAACTTAGGTTACGATTCAAATTGAATCTTGAAAATGTGCCCTCACTTACCTCATTGCTGATTCGCGTTGGAGAAACTTATGTAGTAAACTCAATTAACTGGTTATGTCTCCAAGAATATCGGGAGATGCTGTGTACATCGGTTCTCTTCCGTGCCGGCACAGTGTCTGCTGTGTTGCTCAGAGAGTATCCTCAACGTGCAAGGGTAAAGAAAACGGCGTGTTATAAAATTAGCGGAGAGACTAAAATAAGCTTTATAGTGTCTACCAAGTAACCGTAGTATCATAACCCATTTCTATAGTGAGCAGGTAGGTGCATGGATGGGAGAAATGAGTGGGTGTGTGGGTGGATGGGTGGATAGATCTGTGGCTGGAGAAGTGGACGAACAGATAACTGAATCTCTTTGGGAATTGTAATTGTAAAATGATTTTACCGATCAAAAAAATACAAAAAAAAAAAAAAAAAAAAAATATTCACCGCTCTCTCTCTCTCTCTCTCTCTACGGGCGTGTTTAGTGTACCCCGGAAACTAATTCACATTCCAAGGGACTCGCAATCTACTTCAGGAAAAAAAAAAAAAAAATGAACACGGGCTTGTGAATAGGATTGTTGGGTTGGATTTGGCTGAAACACCGTTTCTTTTGCATGCTGAATTTATTTCTCTTAATTTACATCTTATATCCTCCGCTTGTAAACATAACGCTATCTTAACCCGTTATTGTTTTTTTATGCTAAAATATATAATACAATACAGAAAGAAAATATCAACAGAAATATATATTTCCTATATTTATCTCCGGTGGAACTTATTCTGAAACATACTACAAAGTATATGATAATATTACAGAGTACAAATCAGAATAACAAAAATAACATTTTATAAATTTACGAAAACTTCAATCCTGACAGTAACTTATATTATTGATTATGCATAACCTTGTATTTTATATATAATGAATATATTACGTACCTCAAGTATGAGATTTGTTGGCGTACACTGACGAAGGTAATTATAAACGACCTTAGTACCACTATTACCTGTAGAATTACAAAATTATCGATGGAAAAATCAGGATACTTTGTCTTTGGAGGGTGCAACGCTCTCGCTAACAAATATCGACATTTCAAAATGTGCATAAATGAGACATGTGGATAATGTACTTTGCACGTAACATAATTGGAACGGTTTCAAAGAAAGTGAAATGTAGACGTAAAGAGCCTTACGAATTAATGTACAAGTGTAGCCGCGGGGAAACTGAAATACTAATATTGTGCTACCGAGACAGACGCACAGAGACAGAGGGAAATAGACTGCCATCTTATGTGTTTTGGGTTCGCATGTTACCCTGGCTTTAGGATTTCGTCTCTTGTGGGTGCTTCGCTCTCGGTAACAAATACCAAATAGTTAAGTAAAACGACTTGAGTTCATTACAGGCAGTAACAATGTCTAGAATCGTTGAAAGCAGTGGACTTCATGCAGAAAAATATCAAAATTGTTTCGAAAATAACCCACTACCCTCTTCTACATATTGACCCAATTATGTTTACAAGACCTATTTACATTACTAAGGAAACTTTGCCGATATTCCTTGGGTGATAAAGAGTATAAAAGTTCTTATGTACAAGTCCATACTTACTGACAATGTAGTTACCTATGTACCTTACACACACTGCACAACTAAGTAAGCAAATATGAAGACACACGAATTTTCTTTAAATATATCAGATACTTTTCTCCGCTGCATTCAGTCTGTCCTTCGCCATCATAAGAATGCGCACAGGATTCTTCATGGGCTCTTTCAGAAACCTTCTCACGAAGTTCAGGTAAATCATCCCAGCAGCCTGGCACAGCAACACAGCGACGAGCTGGGCGAGGCTATGCTCGGAGCGCTGGCAGACGTGACACCAAATGGCCCAACCGCAGCACACGACGCTCTCGCCCCCTTGGTAGCTCATCACCAAAGTCTTGTCGAAGAAATACCGGTCCACGACGTCGCCCCAAAGACGCACATTCCTTCTGAGATTCTTGTAGACTAACTCCCCGACCAGGGCGAGATATCCCGCTGCTTTGACGCTCAGGTACAAAATGGCGCCTTTGACCAGCCCGTCCGTGGCGACGGCACCCATCAGAAAGATTCGGCATACTGTAGGTGAAGAAGATTGCTAAACTACCTGACTATCTGATTACTGCCCAAATCCCACTGATTCCATAAACAGTACTATTCCATTAATGCCCCTAACAATCCTGTTAACTCTACAAACTATCACTTTAACTCCATAAACGCATAAAAAAACACCCATATAAAAACCTCTTGCAATGCTTCTTCAGTAATGTAAAATCAGCAAAATCCGCCATTTTATCATCACTGAGTTTTCTTTGTAAATTTGTAATTTCTTAAATCAACCTGGAATCATGTATTTCAATAACAAAAATAAAACAACATAAAAATCCTTTGCAATGCCTTCTCAGATAGAAAGACTTCAACCCTTGATAGTAGAGGTCACTCCAGTCGATGAGCGTATTATGGTATTGAGACTGAAGCTTTCATTTGGCTTCATGTCTCTTATTGCTGTGTACACTCCTACGGATGTATATAAACTTGAGGTGAAAGAGATATTTTACGCCAAACTTTCATCTGTGACAGACAGCTGTCCTCGACGAGATATTCGTATTGTTCTGGGTGACTTCAATGCGGTATCTAGCTGCAATCGAGCTGGCTACATGTCTGTCGGTCCTCATGGCTCAGGAGCTGATGTTGGCAGCGAGAATAGCCTCCTTTTCCGTGACTTTGCTAGGTCCCAGAAATTGAGGATTTCTGGCTCCTGGTATCAGCGCTCCAACCCGCATTGTTGGACATGTTACAGCGATACGGCTAGTGTGGCCAAGGAGATCGACCATATAGCACTTGATGGAGGATCCTCCAGAACTGCAGGGTGTATCGAAGCACCGAGTTCTGTAGAACCGATCATAGATTAGTTGTGGTTACTCTCGGGTCCACTTTAGAACGCCCCGTCGCCTAAATGAACACCCTAGGGTGTTTCACTAGGACAGATTGAGGGAGGATGAGTGTGCCTGGGGGTTTGCCGAGGCTATCTCTGGTCGTTTCACAGCACTTGAAGGCCTGGCAGACCCTG